GAGCCACTAAGACTCAGAGTTTTTATTCCCACCAAAAATATCACTTTATTAATTTTACTGTAACCTATTTATCTACAAAGACTTCTTCCCCCTCACAAAATAAGTATATAAATGCCCAATCTTACTTTTAGAAGACCCTTCCAAAACTAGCAAAACACTCCATTACACCATTTCGAAGCTTTTCCTGATATTAAGTTTGAACTGACAGTCCATTCAGTTATATTTAATTACAGTATTTTATTTTCAGCCACAGCTTCTCTTCAAAGTATCACATTTCTAAGGCTAATGCTCAGATTCTGGTTCACATGCTGTGATAATATATCACTTCAATCAAACAATACTGAAACATGAAAGCATTGTGGTGCATTTCAAGAAGAATACAAGGAAGTGGGGTTGAACTAATAAAATCTCTACTTATGAAAAAATAGAGGAAAATATTGAAATGATTCAATGCTTTTTTTATTTGCTCAAATGGAACTTAATTTGTAATCTTCTCTTCCTGCCAATTCAATTTAAAATCCACTAGGCCAATAGTAGATAGAAGAAATTTTCATCAAAGTGGTATTTTCATCCTGAAGATAAAGACTTACAGGAATGAAAAAATAGTGCCAACATTTGATACTTTCACTGTTTAAATTGTTATTATTTCCAATGTAAGAATTTTGAATGTACTATATTTTAAAATACAGACTTCAAAAGGCAAATGCAGCCTGGCCAGTGTGGCTCAGCGGTTGAGTGTCAACCTAGCAATCAAGAGGTCTCCCGTTTGATTCCCGGTCAGAGCATATGCCCAGGTTTCGGGCTCCATGCCCAATGGGTGGCATGCAGGAGGCAGCCGAATGATGATGTTTCTCTCTCATATATGTTTCTATCTATCCCTCTCTCTCTAAAAATCAATGAAGAAAAAATTCATAGTCTCAGATTTCAGTGTATAAAAGACAGAATTCTTAGATGCCTCCCAAGATTTCTGCCCTCTTGTATGTACACAGTATGTACACAGTATATAACTCCTCCCACTTAAATTTGGGCAGGACTTATAAATATGTTAGAGTATTACAATTATGATTATATTTTGTTAGATGAAAAAGGTGAATGGATTTTGCCTATTTTATTAAGGTTCCTAATTAGTTGACTTGAGTTAAGCAAAGGAAGATTATCCTGGATAGAACTGATCTAATCAGGTGAACTGTTTAAAAGGGAGCTTAGCCCTTTCCTGAGCTCAGAGATATTCTCCTGCCAAGAAGCAAGCCAACATGAGGATGCAGAGAAAAAGGAACCACCCTTCACTGCTGGTGGGAATGCAGACTGGTGCAGCCACTGTGGAGAACACTATGGAGTTTCCTCAAAAAACTAAAAATGGAGCTCCCATTTGACACAGTGATCCCACTTCTAGGAATTTATCCAAAGAAAACAGAAACACCAATCAGAAAGGATATATGGACCCCTGTGTTCATAGCACAATTCAAGCTGAGATTTGGAAACAGCCTAAGTGCCCATCAACAGATGAGTGGATTAGAAAACTGTGGTACATCTACACAATGGAATTTTATGCTGTGATAAAAACGAAGGAATTCTACCATTTGCAACAGCATGGATGGAACTGGAGAGCATTATGCTAAGGGAAATAAGCCAGTCAGAGAAAGATAAGTATCATATGATCTCACTCATTTGTGGAATATAATGAACAACACAGCTGATGAACAAAAATAGAACCAGAGCCGGGACCGGTTTGGCTCAGTGGATAGAGCGTCGGCCTGCGGACTGAAGGGTCCCGGGTTCGATTCCGGTCAAGGGCATGTACCTTGGTTGCGGGCACATCCCTGGTAGGGGGTGTGCAAGAGGCAGCTTGTCGATGTTTCTCTCTCATCGACGTTTCTAACTCTCTGTCCCTCTCAATTCCTCTCTGTGTAAAATCAATAAAATATATTTAAAAAAAAAATAGAACCAGAGACATAGAAGCATCGAACAGATTGTCCAACCTATGAGGGAAGGTGTGTGTGTGTGTGTGTGTGTGTGTGTGTGTGTGTGTGTGTGTAAGAGATCAACCAAAGGACTTGTATGCATGCATATGCACATAACCAATTGACACAGACAATAGGGGGGTGAGGACATGTGTTGGGGGTGGGGACGACCAGGGAGAGGTCAATGAGGGGAAAAGGAGACTTATGTAATACTTTAAACAATAAAGATTTTTTTTTTTAAAGGAAAAAGAGGTTTAAAAATAGAAGCAAGCCATCATGAGTTTATAGCTGTAAGGAAATGTATTGTGCCAACGACCACCCACATGATTTTGGAAGAGAACCCCAAGCTTCATATGAGATTGCACCCCCTGCTGACACCTTGATTTCAGCCTTGTGAAACTCTGAGCAGAGAATCCAACTAAACTATGCCAAGACTTTCTGATCCACAGAAACTGGGATAGAAAATTTATCGTTTTAAGCCACTGAGTTTGTTACAGAGCAATAGAAGACTAATACAGTAATATTAGATATTTACTCTACTAGCAATGCTATGGGTAACATGACTGAACCCTCTGCAGATCAATATTGGCTGAGAAGTTAGTGTTACAGCCACACTCTGTTATAGCAATATATATTGCTATAATATATATTGAAAAGCATTAGTCATCTAAGGAAAGAAACGATATAGCAGGGCTAATGTGCTCAAACCAAATGTAAGACAGAACAATTAAAATACAACACTTTATAGTATAAGTTGGTAAGAGTGAGTGTGTGTGTGTTTTTCAACTTGAATAGAGAAAGATAGGGACCAAAAGGTACACAAAAAGAGCAACATGATTTAGCAATAATTTCAGTGCGGGAGAAAACAGAAGTATTTGAAATGATCTTGAGTTTCCATCTTGGAGATAGGGGAAATGGTAGTACCACCAGCTGCATTAAGAAATATACAGAGTAAAGAACAAGAGTATATTTTCCAGGGGTCAACAAACTAGCCTGGAGGCCAAATGGTCCAGATGCTGTTTTTGTAAATAAGATGTTATTGCAACATAGCTATGGCCATTCATTTATGTGTATTGTCTGTGACTGCTTTTGTACTACTGTAACAGAGTTGAGTAATTGCAACAGAAATTATATGGCCAAACCAGCAGTCAGACATTCCTTTCACAATCCTGGACCACTGGCTCCTAATTGCTCACCTGCCTGCCTACTTGCCTAGTCACCCCTAACTTCCCCCTCCCTGCCAGTCTGGTCGCTCTTAATTGGCCCCACCACCACCACTACCACCAGTCTGGTAACCTCTTACTGCCCCACCCCCCCAACCTGGCCGCTCCACGCAGCCTGCTTGTTCATTCATTTGGCAGTCCCTCACTAACCCCCTGCTGGCCTGGTCATCCCAGGCAACCTGCTTGTTCAATTGTTTAGTTATCTCTTACCCCCCCCCCCCTGCTGGTCTGGTCACCCCATGCAGCCTGCTGCTGAGTCCCTCACTAACTCACCCCCCTTCTTCCCGGGCCGCCCCCACCCCCCACAGCCTGGTCGTAAGTAGCCATCTTTGTGAGGGTGTGAGGGTCAATTTGCATATTACCACTTTATTATTAGGATTATTATATAAGATGGTAATAAATCCAACATCATTCACTCCAAGGTCACATAATTATATATTAAATGAAGCTACCATAACTTCTGCCTTTGCAATGTAATTTTTCTGTTTTGTGGATATGAGGGTACTCTGGAAAATTCTAGTAGAGAACCCCCTGGCTTTTAATGTACTGTGGGTCATTGCTCTTTTTCAAGCCCATCAGACAATGACAAAAGATAAAATTATGCTAAGAAAATCTTTATGTTCTTAATATGATAATACAGAGAGACAGAGAGAACTCAGCATGTGCCAATAATCTGTTCATAGAATAAAGTAGAGAGACAAGAGTTTAATATATTTACAAGGGGATAAAAAGAGAAGTTATAGAGCTATGAGTTTTGGAAGAATTCAACAGAGTAGTTAATGGGTTACAACTACAAGGTCCTAATATTTTCTAAGAAACCTTACTTCTTAGCTGCCAATGTGTTCATACGTGATGGCTCAGTTTCTGTTTCTCTGAACATCAGTCCCAGTGTCTGTATAATTTCAATGCATGCCCTAGAAAACATAGAGAAAACAAACAAACATGGAAATGGCATGATTTCAATACAAATGTAAAATTCCACAAAGTCAGTAATCCTTAACAGAACTGCACTCAGGTACCTATGTGGAAAAAAGTACAGTACAGGAAGGAAAGTCTATATATCAAATTGCCAACCCTCGTTGAGTGCCTATTCTATGATTGCTACATAGTAAGCACTCAAAAATATTTGCTGAATGCATGAATATCTGGATTAAAAATCATTTTTATATTTTTGTGCATTTCCCAAAATTTTTATAATAATTATGCACTACTTTTAAAAAATAATTTAACTTTTTCAAGTAGATAATATTTGGCTCAGAATTTCAAAGGCAAAAAATATATATACAATAAAAAGTGTCTTTCCTCCAGAGCACCCAATTTTTCCTCTTTAGGACAGCCAATATTTCTAGTTTCTTGTGTAATCTTTCTTTTAAAATTAGAACAAAAGGAATGCTATTTTATAAATCCTATGTGAAGCAAAACTTACAGCACCATTAGTCATTAAAGCAGTATACATTTTGTCTAGTGCCTTCCATTTATCTTTAACACCTAGGGAAAAATAATATGTGTGATTATCCAGTTAGTACTTACACAAGCTCATCAGCTCTTTGGCTTTTATTTTGAAGTGCATCTTTATCCCTAGACTCTGGTAAGTACTCTTGAAGTTTGTTCACTAGGAAATAGAAAAGGTCACTGGTCTGTGAAAGCAAGCAGGAAATATGATGAAGTTACAGTATCTATTGGTCAAACTCTCCATGCCTACATAATAATAAAAAGAAGAAAAAATTATTTCTTCGTTGACCAGGAAGTGAGTTAAAATAAATCTCGTTAATACTAGCATAACTTGCACTGAAAACATACTTTTACTTATAATCAGGAGACAGTTGTCCTGGTGAACAGAGCAAGAGCTGAAGTCTAGAGAGAGTGATGCTGGGAGATGCCTTCTAGACTTGATTCGACCATTGATATTGAAGAGTATCCAGAAGTAAGTGATAATCTCAGGCAAGTCATTTAGTTACCTTAGAATATTAACTGGGGGCTACTTTAATTCTTGTCTTTCAAAAGTAATTTGCCCTTTGTGAATATATAATGAAATCAAGGCTAGATAAGTTCTCATTTAGAAATGTTTACTGTTACAAAAACAAATGTAGAGCATGCGTGTAGCCTATGAAGATGCCCAGCATGACATTAATACTTCTGTTAATGCATTGGAAATGTACATTGCCATTCCTGCCAACATAAACACTGGAGTATGGTGAGGGAAGCATTTTTCTGTCTCCTATCCGGTCTCATGAGATAAATCAAGCATGAAAATAAGCACTGGCCCATGAAATCAGGCAAGTTGGTACTAATGAGAAATGTAATGTTTCTCTTTTCTGTTTCTCTATTGTTCAATATTTCCCCAGAACTTTTTTTAAAACTAGTGACAACTTAGATTCTTTGCTTAGACAGGGCTATGTGTGCCCTTGTTGAGATTATATGGCGTGGGAAGAGGCTGAGGATGACAGGTGAAGAGAGGGATAGAGAGGAGGAACAAGATGGTCACCAGGCTCATCAGAAGTGCTTGGGCTTACCCAGAGCCCTGATAGATTAGCATAGTGTGGTAGTTTTACACACAGACTCTGGGACCAGGTTCTTGAGTTCAAATCCCAGCTCTGCCACTGATGAGCTGAATGACATTTGGCAACTTTCGGGTATACTCTGTGACTCAGTTTCTTCATCTCTACCATAGGCTTAATAATGTCCCCTATGGAATTGATATTAAGATTAAATAAGATAATATTTATAAAACCTGTATAGTAGCTAGCATATCATAAGTGCTTAATAAATATCTGTTACTATCATCTCCCACTTGATCACTGGTTCAGGAATTTTCACTCCCACTTGATCACTGGTTCAGGAATTCTTACCTACCTGTAACAACATGAAAAAAATCTCAAAAATATTATGCCAAAGAAGCCAGACACAAAATACAATTTTGTGTACAATTCCGTGTAAGTGGCATCCTAGGACAGGCAAAACTAATCTGTAGTTACAAAAAACACAATAGTTGCCTGAGGCTAGGGTTGGGAAGAAATGACTGCCAAAGGGCACATGTCACCTTTTGGGGTGATAAAAATGTCCTAAATCTTGAGTGGGATGGTCAGCTGGGACAGTTGGTCACCCTACAGTGGGCAAACCAGAATAGTTGCTCATCCTACATGTGGAACATTTAGGATCTAAGGAATGGCCAGGACTGTCCTGTATGGTTGGGGAGTCTGTGCACATCACAACTGCTCATGAAATGGTGGCAACTATGAATAGGGCCACTGTCGAGAATGGGCCTCATTCGCACCAGCACCAGCACTAACCAGGACTTCTCAATACCTTCTCAGTACCTTTCACCCAAAGCTTCAGGTGAAAATGAAACTGAGCAAGTCTTATAGGGTAAGTCTGTAAACTTGCTGAATGAGAGCTAGGTTGTTTTAACTCAAAACAATCAAAAGTAATTTTTTAATGTATATTTTTGTTGTAGGGAAACCTTCATATAAAACTTCTTCAATTAACTTTCTCATCTCACTGTCTCTACTCATATATCTCATAGGCCAGAAGCTTGCCCCTCCTGGTTACTCTTTTCTTTGATTCTGTAAACCCGATTTATACAAGTTACTATCTTTTTGCTACCACTCTTCCCATCTATGCCACCCCAACACACACATACATTAATTACATCACATTTCCCGGGTTAAGGCACAATTACATTAAATTTAGTCAGCATTGTAAAATACAGCATTAAAACACAAGGTGACATTTTTTACACAGTATTTTACTTGATCCTTGAATATGCTGCATTTGGTAAACAGGTGAAACACATTTTAAAGGTTAAAAATAAAACACCTACTTTCCAGAAAAGCCTTTTAAGAATGTAGTTTTTCTGGGCTGCTACTTTAAGTTCTGTAATTAAACAAACTATCTTCCTCAAAGTATTGTCTTTAAGAAAAAGTTCAGATTTAAGTTGACTGAAGTGCTTGATTTTCTCTTCAGATCTACAGAAACATAAGGAAACTTTACATGTAAAAAATGATAAGAGACAGCAGTTAAGGAATACCAATTATTTTTTCCTATTTAGGATATTTTATTTTTATTTTTCAAAAACAGTTGACATTCAATATTACTTTATACTAGAGATCCAATGCACAAAATTTGTGCAAGGGGCTTGGCCCTTGCAGCCACAGTGGCTTGCCTCAGCCCTCACAGCCCCAGCTTCATCTGAAAGGACATCCAGTCTAATTAGCATATTATATATTTTTTATTATTATAGATTATTATAGATTAATTTCAAGTATACAGCACAGTGGTTAGACATTTATATAACTTACAAAGTGATTTCTCTGATAAGTCTAGTACTCACCTGGCACAACACATAATTGTTACAATATTATTGACTATTGAAGAGAAAACCAAGATGGCAGCCTAGGTTAGCACCTAAACTGCCGCCTCGCACAACAATTTCAAAACAACAACTAAAAGACAGAATGAACATCATCCAAAACCACAGGAAAGCTGGCTTAGTGGGAAAATCTACAATTAGAAAAAAGGAAAGAGGCTCCTGGATCAGGGGAGCCACAAAGCGCTGAGGTAGGGAGACGTTCATTCGCAGAGAGGGAGGGCAGCCGAGTCCCTGGCTGGCGGGAGGGGAAAGGAAGCCCCCGACTGCACTGCACCCCAATTCTGACTGCACTGCACCCCAACCCCGGCCAAAACCCTGTGGACCCAGGCTCATACGAGTGGAGTCTGGACTGTAGAGAAAGGCACCTGGAGACTTGGAGACTGGGAGACTGGGGGAGCTGGGAGCTGCAGCGGGCAGGGTCTAGAGTCGTGCGTGAGTGAGTGCGCACAGAGAGGTTTGACTGCGGAGGTTGCCGCAGCCTCTCCATAGCGAAAGGAGTCAGAAGCTCCAGACTACAGAGACCCAACCCAATTCTGGGTGAGCCCCTGGGGCACCCACACTCTTGGAGGGGAAATCTGGACTATCAGGTGGAAACTCAGGGGATCCTTGGAAGGCAGAGGTCTGAGGCCCGTGCACAAGGGCAGGACTGACGGGAAGCCAAGACTGTTGGCTCAGCCCTGAGACTCCGCCCCATCCAAGCTGAGCACAGAGGCTTTTGCAATTTTGCAAGTCTGATCCTATAAGACTGTCTCCAATATAGAAGGTATCCCGGAGTAGACACAGCTGATACTCATATCCAATTGGCCTGGAGGTCAATTCCTCCCAGTGATAGCAACAACAATCAAGACTTAACTACAATAAGGCTGTTCGCACAGTCCACAAAGAGGAGCACCAAGAGTGTCTACCTCAGGTAAGGGGAGGCTGACTCACTGGGCCATATAGGACACCAAACACACAAAGCCATTCTACCAACTCAGGGAAGCAGCGAAAATGCCAAGACAAGGAAATAGATCTCAAACAAAAAAAAAATGGAGGAGAACCAAAGTCTGGATATAGAGTTCAAAACCACACTTATAAGGTTTTTTAAGAATTTCCTAGAAAAGGCTGATAATTTTTTTAAAATATATATTTTATTGATTTTTGTACAGAGAGGAAGGGAGAGAGATAGAGAGTTAGAAACATCGATGAGAGAGAGTCATCGATCAGCTGAAAGGCTGATAAATTTAACGAGACCCTCAAGGATATGAAAAAGGACCAACTAGCACTGACTGAAATAAAAAATATTATTACAGAGGCCCAACAGCAGACTAGAGAAACACAAGAATCAAGTAAAAAATTTGGAATACAAAGAGGCAAAGGACACTCCTTCACAGAAGCAAGAAGAGAAGAGAATCCAGAAAGTTGAAGATAGTGTAAGAAGCCTCTGGGACAACTTCAAACTTACCAACATCCGAATTATGGGGGTGCAAGATACTGAAAACCTATTTGAAGAAATAATGTCATAAAACTTCCCCCACCTGGTAAAAGAAATATACTTACAAGTCCAGGAAGCACATAGAACCCCAAATAAAAGGAATCCAAAGAGGACCACACCAAGACACATCATAATTAAAATGCCAAGGGCAAAAGACAAAGAGAGAATTTTACAAGCAACAAGAGAAAAAGTTATTTACGTACAAGGGAGCACCCATACGACTATTAGCTGATTTCTCAAAAGAAACTATGCAGGCCAGAAGGGAGTGGCAAGAAATATTCAAAGTGATGAATAGTGAGAACCTACAACCAAGATTACTCTACCCAGCAAAGCTATAATTCAGAATTGAAGGGCAGATAAAGAGCTTCACAGATAAGAAAAAGCTAAAGGAGTTCATCATCACCAAACCAGTATTATATGAGATGCTGAAAGGTATTCTTTAAGAAGAGGAAGAGGAAGAAAAAAAGATTAAAATTATGATAAACAAATACATATATCTCCATAAGTGAATTTAAAAATCAAGTGAATTAAAAATCTGAGGAACAGAATAAACTGGTGAAAATAATAGAATTAGGAGCAAAGAAAGGGAGTGGATTGATAATTATCAGGGGGAAAGAGGTGTTGGGGGGTGTGGGAAGAGATTGGACAAAAGTCTTACACCTATGGATGAGGACAATGTTGGGGCGGGGAGGGAGGTAAGGGCAGAGGGTGGGGTGGGAACCAGGTGGAAGGGAGCTATGGGGGGAAAAGCAGAAACAATTGTAATAACCTGAGCAATAAAGATTTATTAAATTAAAAAAAGAAAAGCATAAAATATATATATATATTATTGACTATTATTTTCCCTATGCCGTAGGGATTCAGACTTCCAGCCCTAGCTGTTTTGGCTCAGTGGATAGAGCATCATTCTGAGGACCAAAGGATCCCAGGTTTGGTTCTGGTCAAGGGCATGTGCCTTAATTGCAGGCTCCTCCTCAGACTAATGGTCGGGGCTTGTGCAGGAGGCAACCAACCAATGTTTCTACTCTCTTTCCCTCTCTCTTCCACTCTTCCTAAAAAAATCAATAGAAAAATATCCTCG